TGCCATCGTGTCTGCGCTGCAGCACGCCGACCCCAGGGGGCAGTGTGGACCCCGATTCAAGTCTTGGATCCACTGGTCATCCCTGGGGCCCCAGGAGGCAGCCGAGTAAGGCCTGTGCCCCCGAGGGTTACAGGAATGGGGACCAGGACAGTGACAACCCCGCAGATGGAGAGGAGGCGGAGCACGGGGTCCCTGATGTGCGACCTTGGGCGTCACTCAGTCTTGGAGCCTCAGTTCCTCCATCTGTAGAGTGGGGACAGCAAAGACCTCATGGCCGGGCACGGGAAGAGCCCAGTGCAGGGCAGCGGGTGTTGTTTGTACTATTATTCCTGGTCGCTCCTCTCCCAGTCATGCCTGCTGGCGGCCAGACGCAGGCTCGAGCCTTTCTGGGCAGGGGGGAGTGGGGCTGAGGAGGCCACCGAAGAGACCACCACGGTCCCTCTGGCAGGAGAACAGAGGGGAGGAGAGGGCTTTCCCGGTGCCGCCGGGGCCGATGACACCTGTGCTGCAGAGCCGGGGGCGGAGGACAGGGCTCAGGTGACCTGACCAGGTGCTGTCCCTCCCCCTCCCCATCTGGAGGCTCCGTGTTCCAGGAGGGTGGGCTCTGGGGGCCTGGCCTCAAGGGCGGCCTCGCCGGCCTGGGGTCTCTGGAGCCCTGTGCCTGGCCCCCCCGGGGATGCCCAGCTGGCGTGGGCCCAGCCAGGCCCCGTGCCCCGCCGAGCTAGTGTCGAACATCTGCACAGAGTTCCCTGTGCCACCCCCACTGCCCCTGGCCATTCTGGCCATCTGGTCAGCAGGCCGTGGCCATTCCTGTCCCTTCCTTGGAGCCCTTGGCTGAGCCCTCCTGGGTCTCCCTCAGCCCCTCCACCTGCTTAGGCCTCTGCTCCTCAGAAGAGCCTTTCAGAGCCCGGCTGGGTGACCGGGGAGTGTGATCTCCCCTTTGGACCTCAGTCTTCCCATCTGTAAAATGGAGCGACCAGACTGGATGCCTCACACAGCCCAGGTTCCGTACTTGGGAGTGCTAGAGACCAGGCCCCTCTGGAGGCAGAACCAGCCGGGCCGAGGCTCAGCTTCCACTGCGACCCCGGGCCAGAGGCCGCTCCGTCTGGACACAGGTCACACCACCCTGAGCTCCGGCCGGGAAGGCGGCCGCCCTGCTGGCTGCTCCCAGGCCAAGCAGCAGTGAGCAGGCAGCTGGGCTGGCCTGGCCGGGCTCCAGAGGCGCGGAGCGGGTTAAAGTGTGCGCCAGGCCCTGCGGGCGGGGGGAGCAGCCTGGTGGGAAGTGTGAGTTCCTCCCTGTCTGCCTGACAGCTATAAAGGCGGCCGCGCTGCGGAGCCGCCACTGGGCTGCGCGCCGCCCTGGGATCCCCGCTCTGGGTGCTCTTTGAAGTGGAGGAGGGCGGGAGCCGGCGGAAGGGAGCGCGCACCCGCAGCCCTCCCCACGCAGCGGCCCTCGCACACGCACCTGGCGCCGCCTCCCGCGGCCACTCAGCCCCTCTCTCCCCGAGGACAACCTGCCGCCCGGGACAGGTAGGGCACCTCCACCGCCCGCGTCCCGCGGAGCTGCCCGGGTACATGCAGCCCCGGCTCCGTGAGCACCCCCAGCCCCCGGGGGCTGGGTAACCGGAGGCGGCCCGGGGGAGGGTCCAGCCCCCAGGAGCGCGGCGAGGGTGGCCCTCGCCTCCAGCCTCAGATGCCTGCAGCTCTCCTGTGCATGCGAACCCCTCCCGCTGGCCGCTGGCCGTCTCTGGACCCCAGGGAGGGAGGGATCCCGCGTGAGCCGGGCCTGGCCTGCAGCCAGCGGTGTCTGGAGCCTTAATGAAAACCAAGTGTGAGGCCGGCTCAGCACCTGTCTCCATCCAGCCCGCAGGCAGGAGCTGGAGCACCAATGAGCCCGCGGGACCTCGGGACCTCCAGGGGCTCCGCGGGCCCCAGGCTGGTGGGGGGACGCAGATGGAGGCCCGCGGGGGAGGGGCGAGATGGGCGCGGAGGGCAGGCAGGCAGCTGGGGAGGTGGGGGCGCCAGCTCCCATCCCCGGGGTGCAGGGCTGTCCTGTCCAGGACAGAGGCATCCTTGGGGTGCCAGGGTGCCGTTGGCACAGCGCCTGAAACCGGCAGGTGCCTGAGCGCACGGGACGGAGGGTTTGGTGGAGGAGAGGCGGGCGGAGATGGGGGGCGGTTCGGAGGAGCTGGGTCAGGACTGTGGGGGTGGGGGACCTTCATGCCTCTTCCCCTGGAACTAGCCCAGTGCCGGGATGTGCTCTGGGTTTGGGGGCGAGTGTGCTGGGAGCCCCTGCGTCCCAGGGTGGGGGCATCCAGGGACCCCCTCCGGAGGAGGTGGCCAGCCGGCAACGATCAGGTAAGACCCAAGGTGCTCTCGCTGGGCTGGGCGACAGGCCAAGTCCAGGCTGCAGCCCCCCTTCCCCCCGCTTTTCTCCACAGGTGTCCCCAGGGTGCTCGGTGTCCGAGCTGAGCAGCACGTGACCCCAAGTGCCCTCAGGCCAGGGAGTGCAGGCTTAGCATGCACACCACGGCCACTGTGTCACCCGTGGCAGGCATCTCTAGTCGCTCCCCGAGCCCTCCCCCCAGGCCCCCGGGCAGCCACCACTAACCGATCCCAGATAACCCTGTGGTCCCGGCCCTGGGTGGGCTGCGAAGGCTTTGCCCCCAGGTGGACCCTGGTCAGCGGACGGAGGAGCTGGCCTGGCCTGGGTGACGGTAGCCTTGCTTCCCAGGATGGACCGTGGACGGCGGCCTTCACGCTGGGCCTGGTCCCTGCTGGCTGCGGCGCTCGTGGCTTGGGGCGTGGCGTCCACTGGGGCCACGGTGAGTGGGGAGCATGGGCCCTCACCCCGATGGGGGGATGTCACAGGGGCTGTGTGGCCGGTGTCCGGGCTGCCTTCCCACAGCCCCCTCCTGCCAGGAACACGTGTCAGTCCGGTCCCTGAGTGGGGGCCCTGGCCACTTGGAGCCCTGACCACCCACCAGGACGGGCTGAAGGCTGACCGCCTCCCTCAGAATGATGTCCAGGAGGCGCGTAGAGGGGGGGCGTGTCCTGCAGAACCCGGGCTGGGCCCCGGGCTGCTCAGGAGAGGGAAGTCGGGGAGATTAGGTAGGTCCCCGGGACCCCAGGATGTTCCAGATCTCAAAATGGGAAGGACCCGGGGCCCCCAACTCCCTGGGATCCCCTCCAGGACCACCGCTGACCCCTGAGCCCGGGCTGCCAAGTGGCCGTGCTGTCCAGGGCCCAGGGCGGGCGGCCGGTCCCGCTGGCGCTCTAGCCCCTAACCTGCGGGTCTCTCAGCAGGACAACAACCCCGTGTCCAACAGCCTGGAGGCGGGCGTGGACGCCACTGCCTCCTGGTGGGGGGAGTGGACCAAGTGGACGGCGTGTTCCCGCAGCTGTGGGACGGGGGTGAGGACCCGGGAGCGGCACTGCCTCCAGCAGAGGTGTGGGCCGGGCACGGGACCCCTGGGGCTGGCCTGAGGGTGGGTACCTAGCCCTCAGCCCGGGCAGCGGGTGAGGGAGGGTCTTGGGCTGGGAAGGGTGTCAGGGTGAGGAGCACAGGCCAGGGAGGGACCCGGCGTCCTGGGGTTCGTCCTGCTCCAGGGACTGGGCACAGGCCTTTGGTGAGCGAGCAGGACCCATTTCTAAGGCTTTAGGGGGGGAGGGCGGGGTGTGAGGCCCATGGCCCTCTCCTCTGAAGACCTGAGTTGAATAAACAGGGAAAAGCATCTGGTGCAGCAGCTACTGCCGGGCAGACCCGGGTTCAGATCTTGCCTCTGCCACTTCCTCGCTGTGTGACCTTGGGCAGGTCACTGAGCCTCTCTGAGCACCGGTGTCCTCATCTGTGGGTGGCGGGGATGCGGAGCCCCCTGAGACCTGAGAACCCACGATGATACGTGTGTGTGCTTCCGGGCAGGGCCTGTACACGGCCAATGTCCTTATTCTGGTGATTAATTCTGGGTGCTAGGCGCTGTGCTCTGTGACGGGGAAGTCGAGGTGAATAGGACACCCCCTCCGCTGAGATGGGGCTGGGAGACGCCCCCGATGGCTTGAACCCCTGTGCGATGAGAAGGGCTGGCAGGCTTGAGTGGGGAGGGAGGTCCCTTGGGTCAGAGGAGTTGGGGGCAGCTCAGGGGCCAGCCCTGAGGCCCTGGGGGGCAGGAGAGGGTGGGGGCTGCAGCTGGCGGCCCCCAGTGCCGGCTCAGAGCCCCTGTCTTCCCGCCAGGAGGACGTCCATCACCGACGCTGGGAACCGAACCTGCACGGGCACGTCCAAGCGGTACCAGCTGTGCCGCGTACAGGTGAGGCTCCGTCCCCTGGCGCCCCGACCCTGCCCTCCCTGACCCCCACAGGTCCCAGGTGGGTCCTGCCCTGGGCCTGCCCTTACATCCTGTGAAGAGAAGGTGACCAGGCCCCGGCCCAGCAATCAGATCCCCGTGCCCACCGTGTGGCCCACATGGCAGGGCCAGAGGCCTCACTGCTGCTGGCGGAGCGGCAGCTCCAGGGTCGGGTCTCTGGCCGAAGCCCCCCTTTGCTTACCAGTCCTGGGCCGGGAGTTTGCGGGGAAACCGACATTCGCCAGGTGTCCGGCGCCAGCGTGAGCCTGAGCGCCGGGGCCTGGGGCAGAGCCAGCCCCGAGGGTGGGGCGTTTGCCCATCAGGGTGCATTCCAGCTCCGCGCGGTCCCGTGTCCGGGTGTCTGTGTGTGTCCCCGTGTGTCCACGTGTGCACACGTGCAGGGGGCTAGGGGCTGGAGGGACCAAGTGGCCACTGTGTTGGCTTCAAGGGTCAGCTGTCCTCCTGGACGCTTGTGGGCTCCGAGGGGGACCCGCTGCCCGTCCTGGGCGCTCCCCTCTGCACTGGGCCCCGCCTCAGCCCCTCCAGCCGGGGACACACTGGGGGCTGCGGGGCCGGAGGAGCCGGGGTGGCAGGGACACGACAGGGTCCCACTGGAGCCCCTGGGGACAGTCTGAGGGACAGTCGCTGTCCTTCCTCTCGTCCCCGCTCCTCCCGAGAGCGAGCCGGTGAGACGCAGAGAGGAGAGGCCCCCTCAGCGGCAGCCGCTTCCTGCTGGGCCCGGACAGAAACGCCTTTGTCGGCGAGTTCCTCCCGGCCTCCCCCGCCACCCCGCCTTCTCGCCCCCAGGAGTGTCCACCGGACGGGAGGAGCTTCCGGGAGGAGCAGTGTATCTCCTTCAACTCCCACGTGTACAACGGGCGAACGCACCAGTGGAAGCCCCTGTACCCCGGTACCTGGTCCTGGCTGCCCGGCGGGGAGCACAGTGCGGGGTGGGGGGGTTCCCAACCCTGGGGAGACCCGCTCCCGAGGGGCCAGCCCCTGGGGACAGTGGGAGGGCAGATGGGCAAACTGGCCCAGAGGGAGGGGTCTTGTCGAAGGTCAGGGGGAGTTGAGGCGGCAGAATAAACGAGCTGGCCTTTCCCGCCGTGGGCGCCTGCAGGGGGACCCGGGCCAGCAGCCCAGGCCACCAGGGGGCTCAGCCTCCTGCCCGGGGGACCTGCCCCCACCCCCCAAGAAAGCAGAGGCGGAAGGCACAGAGCCCACATCATGGTGCATTCCAGCCCCGAGGCCCCCGCAAGTCCCTCCCACTCTCCAGGCCCCTGTTTCCCTCTCTGTGCCCCGGGGGGCGGGGGGCGCCGTCTCCGTGAGAAGAGAGGGGAGTCCCTGACCCGGCCCCCGATCCTGAGAGGCCCTGTCCCCCCAGATGACTACGTGCACATCTCCAGCAAGCCCTGCGACCTGCACTGCACCACCGTGGACGGCCAGCGGCAGCTCATGGTGCCCGCCCGCGACGGCACGTCCTGCAAGCTCGCCGACCTGCGCGGGGTCTGCGTGTCTGGA